CTTTATTGAGGAACACAGAGTACCAACCACACGCTCTACAGGTCCATGCACTGCGGAGCGCAACTTTGCGACGGGTGGGTGCAGCCTGCCCTGACGCTGTCTTGGCCCTCCCTCCAATGGGGACCGTAACGAGTTTAGGCCACAAAAACCATTGCATCCCCGGGACACTGTGGCCTTGGTGTTCAGCAAGGCCTCGTTTCCGGAGCATGATCTGGCGCATGCCCGCAGCGATCTGCGGCTGATCACGGTGGCTCTGGCTCGCAGGCCGAATGGCCTGTTTCCAGGTCGCATACGGGATCTCCTTGTGGTACATCTCGTAGTGGTTCTTCATGACCACGCTGTAGGTATAGTGCTGCATTTCCCGGCGCTGATCCCAGGTAAGGCCTCTGGGGCAGTACGGGCACACGATGGCGTACTTGTTGTCCTTCTTGCCGGCGCGAGTGACCTTGACTAACGACGGTCGGGCATGGTATCCAGGCCGGCCCTGTCCCTTGTGTGCCCGCACATAATGATTAGCAGCAGTGTAAGCGTACTGAGCCTCATTCTGGGTCTGCTTCACAAAAGGGCACAGGGTGCAACGGAAAACTCGGTCCTCCGGCATGTGGTAGCCCCGCTTGACCCGGCGCTGCCTGGGCTTAGGAGCAGGCGGCTCCTCGCAGTGTTCAAGGTCCTGGCTGAGCTCATCATCATCTTTCCAAGTCACCTTCAAGGTTTTGGCCTTGGTAGAGAGGCAACTGGGAGCGGCCTTTCGCTTAGAAGCCGTGGCACAAGAAGAGGCAGCTCCGTCATCCTGCCAAGTCACCTTGATGTCTTTGACCTTGGTAGAACGGCTACTAGAAGCAGCTTGCCGCTTTGAAGGCGTGGCACAGGAGGAGGCAGGTCCCTCCGACGCCCGCTTAGAAGAGCAAGCCGAACCCGCCTGGCGCTTGAAAGAGGTGGCACAAGAAGAGAGCGAAGCCACCGATCTGCTGCCTGCACCGCCGGCTCGGAGGTTGCCCATAGGTCCTGACTCGATCTTGTAGTACTCCTCGGGATACTTCTTGTCGCTCTCCTGCAGTGGCATGGCCAAATCCACATGCTTATCAGCATACCAAAGTATCATCAGGGATTTCTCCTTGGTGTTCCAAGCCGCTGGCGCAAAGTGCACACCCTGCGGGATCACCACCACTCTGAAATGTGTGATGTGGGCTAGCGCCCCGATCTCCAATTCGCCAAGGTAAGTGCTGTCTCGCTCGATCCACTCCATGTACTTTTGGAAGGTATCACATGAGTCACCTCCATCCGGGTCCAGTTTGTCCCAGTTGCGCTGGTACCGATCGTGTTTGTACATATGTGTCACCATTTCTGCCCGAAGCACTCGCGGATGTTTATCAATCTGTTTCCACACCTGGAGCGCCTTACAAAAAGCATGGAGCACACAGTTGCCATCGCGCGCGCATGCCACTTTCCGAAGGTTGGTGGGGAAGGTCCTGAGCTCCTGCTTGAGGTTCTTGGCAGTGGACTGCTCCTTGCCATTCTCGTCAGTCATCGGCTTCGTGGGAATGGTAACAGTCTCAGTCTTCAAAGTCGGAGCAGCCTGGAGGGGCACGACCGGCACCGCGTGGGTGTAGATCGGCTTCTGCTTCGCCTGCGTCGGTCGAGGTGGCGCAATGGTGGCCCACAGCGTCATTTGGGCCCCGAGGAAATCAACACCGATGGGGACGATATCCCGATCACCGTTGCCGTCCTTCAGCTTAGCCCGGAAGCGAATGGAATTGACGCCTTTCTTCCAGCGGTGGCTGAGAATCACAGGGTCCTCAAAAGTGTGCTGCAGCAAAGTCTGTACAGCCTGGTGATCAAGATCCTGAGGTACTTCCTCGAGCTGCCAGATGCGACAGGCCGCCTCATTGGCCCCAAGCGGTTTGCGCCAGGCCAAGCGTGTGCCGCTGACCGCGACCCCCAGATCGGAGGCCATTCTGCGGGCCCTTTCTAAGTAGTCGACGTTCTTTTCCTGCGGCCCTTTCTCCAGCCACTGCATCTCGAAAGAAGGGGAGGTGTCCCGAGGCATGGAAATGAAAACACCGCCGCTGCCTGAGGCAGCCAAGAGCTGCCCGCAATCCTTTTTGGGAACTCGCGCCAAACCGTGGTACTGCTCGGTGTCGGTGTGCGGGGAGCGCTCCTTGACCCAGCGGTAGCAGTTAAGGGCCTGCACATGGCGCTGCGCAATCCAAGTCATGGCCGCCTTGGCTGGTCCGGCCTCAAAAGCTTGCCACGTGGCCTTGTCACAGAAGCTCTTGGCGACTCGGATGAAGATGACCTCGTTCTCGGTCTTAGTCACCTTGATCATCGTCGTGTTGCCCCCTTTAGGTTGCACACCCGCAGTTTTACCATGGCTAAGGCAGTTACGAACCACGCCTTGGCGGAAGACCAGTTGGTCTCCAATGCGGCCCGGCACCTTCTGGGACCCCTTCTCGTTGGCCAGGTAGATGGTCAAGACCCGATAGGGTTTTGTAGTGCCACGCAACAAGCTGTGGATGGCATCGATTTCCTCCTTCGTGCCCAGCACCACGCCGACCACATCTTCTCCGTCTTTGGTCTCCTCCACCTTGGTCCCGAAATTGGCATAGGAGACCAAAGGAGCCTGCCAATCTTGTGATCGCAACTGGAATTCGCCTTGCGGTGTTCTCCTTGCCACAGTCGTCCACCCTGAATCTGACTCGTCACGGTGAGCTCCTTTGCCCTTGCCTTGCTTGGCCGGGCGAGTCGGGCCAGCATCGTTGCGGGCCGCCGGCGATTCAGGTTTTGCCCGGGCCCCGGGCTTGCCACCGAGGCCGGCTTTGCCAGCAGCCTTCGCATAGTCAACGTCCATGGCGCCCTCTTCGGGGCTGGCTTTCTTCTTTCGCTTTCGGCCCTTGCCCTTGGGCAGGTCCTCGTCAGCAGACTGCAAGTGGACTGTCCTTGCCGGCGGCGTTGCAGAGGGAAGGGCCTGAGCAATGATGGCCGTCCAGTCAATCGCAGCCAAAGCAGTTGCAAGGCCTTGCTGAATCATCGCCTGGATCTCGTTCCTGGTCGCGGCATCCATGGGCCCAGGGTGCTGGGCTTCGCCAACACGCACTCCCGTCCAGGGACAGTGGTCTCTTTGCAAGCGCGGTCCAGGACTTGTCTCGCCAATGCGTCTGCCACAATGGGGGCAATGTCGGGCCCCATCACACCATGAGGCCAGCCATGCCAGCCAGCCCTGGCGCCGTGCCACCATCGCCCGAGGGATCACAAAGGCGGAGTCCGGAATCGGCAGGAGGTCGTTGAACTCCTGGCTCGCCTCCGGCTCGCAGTCAAGGTCGGGCACCGGCTCGAATAGATCAAGGTCCTGAACAATGCCAGCTGCCTCCGCCCCCGCGGCCGCCGCTGCCTGCGCCAGTTCGCCAAGGTCCGAGCCGAAGTCGTCGAAGTCAAAGCATGCTGCAAAGGCGAATTCAGGAAGGGCCTCATTCGCCTCGTTCTGCTCCGCCTCGTGCTCGTGCATGTTGTTGCGAATCGGCTTGAAGTGGTCGAAGATCTGGACCGCTCCAGCCGCTGCCACGCCGCCGTGCAACTCCGAGGTGAAGCCCGGGATCGGCTTGAGGTGGTCGAAGAACTGGCCGCCTCCAGCCGACGTCTGCCCAGGAGCTGTCACAGAAGCCCGCTCCAATTTGCCTTCATCTTGTGTTGCCGTCTTGCACGATTGTGCAACAGGCGCAAGAGTGTCCTTCATCCCAGCTGCTTTGGACCAAAATGGTCCATTCGCTTGCCAGCTGTGGCTGGCCCATGGGTGACCCCATCTTGGTCTTGCTGAAGCAAGACCGTGCTTGCCAAACATGATCGTGGCGTAGATCCCTCTGAAGAAGCATCGAGATGAGTCAAGCCCAGCCCGATCGGCAGAAGTGGCAGTCCAAGCACCAAGCTTCAAGAATGCCCTGCTAGCATTGAAGCCCATGCCTCCCAAAGCATCGGGCCTCGTAGTGGTATTTCGTGCCGATCTGCTGGGCCAGAGGGGGTGTCTCTCGCCCGCCATGTGTAAAGCGATGCCCATGGCATCCATTCTTCGCCTGAGATTTCTTTCAAAGCCACAGCCACCGCTCGACGGCGCCATGGCGGCTAGCAAGCGAAGTCAGCCTGCCCTAGGGTCCCCGGGCAGTTGTCCAGCCCTGAACTCGCGGAGTTCTCGCTTGGGCCAGGGCTCATCGCATCAAGCACTAAGCCATTCAGTTGGGAGTTCGAGCAGCACGAAGTTTGGGGATTCGCATGTGAGTGACTTGCTCGGTGCTTGAGGGTCCGTCTTGAACATAACATAGGGGTCTACCAGGGCACAGACGTTCAGATGATCGACTTTCTGAGCCTTATAGGGCTGGTTTAGATGCCTTGCGACAGCACTTGAGCCGCACGAGACCAGGAGAATGCAAGGCAGGTTCGGCGGAGCGTCTCTTCAGCGTCGGATGCAAGAAGACACCGAGTGGTTCAATCGCGAAATCCGCAACTTGACCCCTGTGGTGGCGACAAGTTTGAATGCTCGGACTCCAGCACGGCGCTCAGCGACCTCTGCTTTTTCGGCAGCGGATCCGAGGCGCTCCGGAGAAAGGCCACCCACCACCGGCGCGCCGGGGCCAAGGCCTCCCAGCCGGGAGAGTCGAAGATCCCCGAACTCTCTCCACCCGAAGCCACGACCGCAATTTGGGCCGGGCCTCGGGATCAAAGGAAGATACTCTTCGTGGCCACTGGCAAAGCATCCAAGGCAGCCCGGAGCTTCTGCCGCACCTTTTCGCCTGGGCCGAGGTTTGTGAGTGGCAAGGCTTAAGATGCGACAGACTCCGAGGCCCGGGCTGAGCTGGCGGTTTTTCCCCAGATCAACCTTAAGCTGCGTGAGCTGCTGCAGCTCAGAGAGGCTCTCCACCAGTGAGGTGGCGCCGGCATCGCCTCGGCCGGGAGGCAGGGGCCAGCCAGGAATCTGCGGGTGTGGGTGTAGGCATCGGCAGGAACCCGGCTCCTCAGACTTCGGAGAATGTAGGTTGGGGCGTGGTTTCTGTGAAAAACAGGCTATCAGGATGACCCCAAGAGTGGACATCGGAAGAAACCCGGCTCTTCTGACTTCGGCGTGGGGGGGGGGGGCGCTGCACCGAGAACGGGGATGCAAGGCTTGGATGAAGATCAGACTCCAAGAAAGGATCTACAGTATCTCCCGATATCGGCCCTCCGGGTAAAGCGGGGCAATGTGGCTTCGACTTCTTCGAGGCCCCGGGCCGAAGCTGTTCTCGTCCAGACTCAAAAAGAGTCTCTTCAGCTCCGTCAGCTCGCGGAGGGCGGAGGCCAAGGCCTCTGTGCCCTGGTCGCCTCGGTGCGGCTGCTGCCCGGGGGCGCAGTCGCGAGGCAAATTGCTGCCTTCCCGAAAGGGGACGGGCAGGGGCATCTCGGCAGAAGGGTTTTCGGACGACATCTCACGGGAGCCGCCGTGGGAATCCAAGACTCTGCTGCAAATCACGGAGAGTCGAGTCCGTTCGGGTGCAGGCTTGGATGCATCGTGAGCTGGACTTGGGACTTCATGGTGAGCTGGATTCGGATGCAGTTTGATAGTGGAGCTCTGCTCGCGCTCCGAAAGGCGCCGGGGCCAAGGCCGAAGGCGTCGCCTTGGAAGCGGAGGTCGAGCTCGAGCTCTCGCAGCGGCTCCGGGAGCTTCGGCAGGGCCCGGCAGAGCGGTCCGAAGAGCCGCCGGAACCTCTCGGCTTCCTCGCCTCGGAAGGCAGTGCACGTGGGCCGTGGGCGGTGCCTCGGCTCCGGAGCTGAGCCGCCGGCTGAAGCCGGCGAGATCGACCTTCAGCTTCTGCGGCGCTTCCTCGAGCTTTTTGAATTCAAAGTCCTGCGCGCGGCGGCGGCCGTGGGGCGCAGCCCGTGACGCGCAGGGAAACGAGCAAAGGGATGGTTGGAAGGTCGCACCAGGGGGGTGCTCTGTTTGGCTTCGGGTTTGGTGGTCTGTTTGGCTTCCGGTTTCCAGGCTTCTTTGGATTGTTTGGAAGAGACTTTGCCCAAGAACCCTGCGGTCGACTTCACTCGGTCAATTCGGGCCCGGAGGGATGAAGAACTTGCCGCACTTCAAAGAGAACGCGCGAGCCTCCAACATGCACAGGAACTCCATGGCTGGGTGGGTGACGGTGCCCTTCACCTGCGGACAGCGACAGTCGCAGAAGATGGGAAGATGTGAGAGAAAGAGAGGGAGCAAGAAACGTCACGAGCGCTCGTTAATTCGGCCTGGCCGGTCCGGAGGGCCCTGGCCATTGCCACGGCGACCCCGTTGCCCAAATCGCTGTCCGTCAGATCGACCTGGAGCTGGCTCGCCCGGAGCGCCTGTGAGCCGGGCAGTGCTCTGCTCGAGATAGAAGGAGGGCAGCGCACTCGCTCAAGCTTCAGCGGTCTCGGTGAGCTTGCTGCAAGTACAACAGAAGCCGCCAGCCTCGAGAAGGGGCTCCGCAATTTCGACTTTGGCTCCCGCAAGGCTCAGCTGCTTCAGGGTGTGATTCTGCTTGACTGCCTGCACACATTGACAGAGCAAGGAATGCGCGGAAGCATCTGGCTATTGTGGAGCCGAAGCATGCCGAAGCTCTTTGCAGTGCGCTCGCCAATCGGTTCTGTGCTCCTACCGCCGCACTTCCTTTTGGGAGGCAGCCTTGAAAGGCCTTCAACAACTCGTCCAAGGGCCTTTGCGAGAGCGCAGACCATATCGCTGTCCAGACACACGTGGCTCAGGTTCAGCTCGATCAGAGTGCTGTTGTTCTGCAAAACCTGCGTGCAGAGCTGCAGGCATGGCGCTTCGGCTTCGGTCTGCAAATGCTCCGGTGAAGCAAACGATTGGGGCGGGCAATTGTATCCCGAAGGTCAATGAATTCCGATCCCGATCATCTCAGAGCTCGAAGGCCTCTGCCAAAGCCTTGACACCAGCGACGCCGATGCGGTCGTGGCCAACGCTCAGTGCCGCAAGCGTCCCGTTAAGCTGCAAAGCCAAGGCCTGGAGCGCATCGCCGTGCCGCAGTATGCACACACACACACACACCCAAAAGCCTTTACCTTCCATAATGCAATGAAGTGCCGCTCAATGTAAGCCACCATGCCAGCAGAGTGCATCGGCAACTGGCGGCGGGCCTCAACGACCTGGCGGGTGCCCTCCTCAAAGAGCTCGTTGTGCTTCAGGTGGAGCTGTGGAAGCTTGTTCTCCTTCAGGACCTGCTCAGAAGTGATTGGGCTGTGCCTGGCTTCTGCCTGAAACGCTCCGAAAATGCACAAAGGAAACACCGGCCTTCAGCAGTAGCGGGAGCTTCTGGCTGAGCTCGCAGTGGACGATCTCCAGGCTCCTGAAAGTGACGGCGGTCTAGTCGGGAGGCCGCTAAAGTTCAAGCTTCTCCTAACGCAGTGCTTTGCGGTCGAGGTGCTCTAGCACCGGGTAGCGCTCGAGGCCCGACAGGGCGATGTCGAGGGCTTCCGCGCCCAAATCTACGAGCCGTAAGCTCTTGCACATCTCTGCCTTCTCTTTGTACACTTCCGCTTGCAATCTGCAGACGGTCTCTACATCATCTAGATGCGTGAATTTAAGTTGGTTGGCGACGCTCTGTCGAAATGCCTCTGGCACCATCGGGGCGATTCCCCCCTTCTCGCCTTCCGGGGCATCTACTTCACGCGAAAGGTTGGTGGCCGTTCGAGTACTAGACCACTCCCTCTCAGCGGCACACCACCCACGCTGCTTGTACGGCGTGCGGTTCTTGACCAATTCAGTGACCGGCACTGGTTTCACCAGGCCGGTGGGGTGGTGATACATCATCACGCCTTCTTGCTTTCGCTCGGCTTCTGCAATGTCTGCTTTCGGCGTCAAAGACTCGATTCGGAGCGTACTTGATTTCTCGTGGCAGTACAGCACATGCATGTGCTTCATCGCACGCCCGAAGCTGACATTCTGCTTCTGGGAGAGTCGGATACAAAGATACATAATCGATGAACAGCCACTCCTTTCCCGTAAGAGCCTTGGCTAGCTTGGCAACCTGGTAGCCGTACGGATCACAGTGTTCCCTCGACTCCCAGCAGTGGGACAGCGAGACTATCTGGGTGCCTTCAGGCGCCTTGCCATCGGCCCAGGCTTGGACCTCCAAACGTTGACAAAGAGAGACGGATACTTCGGGCTGACTCCAACGTCGTGCGGAAGTTGCAGGTTGCTGAAACGCTTCTTGGTGGGTGGGGTTGGAGACAAATACCGCACCTCCTCGTGTGTGACCAGCGCCGTGCGGCTGTCCACGTAGGCGGACTCCGCTTCCTGGCGGCGTGGGAGCCGCTTTCTTGCAGTGTCACTTTCCTTCTGCAGCTTCAGGATGAAGTCGGCTCGCACCTCAGGCCACCCCCAACGAGATCTGATCCATTACACGTGGACCACTACATCACAATAAGACGAGTGTTCTAGTCTGGACCATCCTAGCATTGTGCTTCCATGCCGTAGCCCGGGGTGCGCACAAGCCGGATGTCAGCGTCTTTTAGGAAGTCCGCCAGCCCCTGCTTCTGAGCCAGGTCGTAGCGCTTGGGCACAGGCATCACACGCACTGTTGCTGTGGACGAACGCTCGGGCCCTTCCCACGCCCAAACCTCTTGAGGTTCCGGAGCTGGATCCGGGCGGCGCAGGCAGCGTGCCAAGTCCTCGCAGCTCAGCAGGCCCTCGCCTCTGCAAGGAAGCATCCACCACGGACCAGCTTTCCGAAATCAGACGGCACACATCGGTTCGGACTCTGAAGGCATATACCCATGTCTGAGCTTCCGGCGATCGGGGGCAACCTCTTGCAAGATGCCCTGGCCCACGCACTCAGGCACATGCTGCAACAGACTGGGCACACGGCTTCTGCCTGGAGCATGTCCACGGTGAAACGGTCGCCTGACACGCACTGAGAAGAATCCACGCGTCACTTCCTAAATCCGGATCCTGAGACACTTCTTGGCGGCTATGCGGTTCAATAGGATGTATTGAGAGGCGGCTCTGCAGTACTGCACCATCCATGCCGTGGTTGGGAAGTGTTGGAATCCATTTTTCGCATTTGGCGTTCGCAAGAGTCTCTAAGCATATGGCGTAATGTTTGACTTCTGCCACATGCTGCCGATGTCTGTTTAACGTGTTCATGGGCAAACGTGCCACTGGCTGAGACGGTAGGGGTAAACTCATGAACTTGCTGAATGCGTTGCTAGACGGGGCTGACGGAATAAACACATTCTACATTCTACTTGCGGCATCTTGCAGCTCTCACCTTTCAGGGTTCTGGCCTTTGAGGTTCCTGACGATGATGCGGAGAGCATCCTTGGAGATCCTCCGCTTGCCCGGACCACCCTGGCAGGAGACAGGCAGGAAAGAACGATGGCATCAGCTCCCCGGCTCGGCCAAACAGACACCAGGATCGTGAGACACTCCACGCCCGCTTATTTTTCTCTTATCCTCAAAACTCTGCCATGATTCCGAAGCGTGTCCAACTTGCGGAAATGGTACACCAGGCCATCCCAGCACTACTGCGGCCTAGACATAGCTGCAGAATGCTGCAGACGCCGCCCGTTTGGTGCTTGCTTGGCCCACCCTCGAGCCCGCGGCACCAGCTGGATGTCCGCATCTTCGAGGAAGTCTGCCAGCTTGCTCTTGTCAGCTAAGTCGTACTCCTTTGCCTGCGTTTCCAAGCCCAGTGTACTCTTGTGCACTTGAGGGGCCCGGAGCCTCTGTTGATTGTGAGGTGCCTGGATCCGAGTGATCACATGAGCCTCTCCTCAGTGGTCCGCGGAAGTGCAGGGCAGCAGATTTTCCCAGGCGTCTCGCTTGCTTGCTGGTCTCCGTCGGCTTCTCGTTTTCGTCCTGTGGGTTCAGAACCCCCAGATCTCCCGAGACACGGCACTGCGCTCTGGGCCCCGGGTCCTCCTGATGCACACGATCCGGCAGGGAGCCCTCGAGGTCCCTGAAGCTCTCCTGGCCCTCGCCTCGGCAGGCTGCCCAGGCTCGGGGTGATTTTGTCAGCGTGCTGATTGAGAGAGGGTTGCAGCTTTTTGCTGTGCAGAATTCCCGAAATTCTTCAATGAACCGTCAGAGGCATTCAAGACCTTTCGGAACAGCCAGTTCCAGGATCGTGGGTGGACAGACTGGGTGACCCGCGATCGGCAGGTACTTGCGGCAGAACCCCCTGGCTTGGACATGCTCGACTGTTTCGAAGACATGCTTTTTGTTACCCCGGCCTGAAGTGCCTGATCAGCAACACCCTGCTCAACCTGGCAGGGAGGACGCTTCTTAGCAGCTCCTTTGCGGTGCATGGTTCCTCAATCTCTAAATCTATACCATGAAGGATGATGAATGATCACAGGCGGCTGGACAAACATAGACATGGAGAGTCTCGGCAGGCTTGCGGGGAACTCAGGCAATGGAAAAAAGAAAAAGATCTGTTGCATCTATCTGGCTCATCTGGGAAACTGTCGGCGCTACGTGTGCCCGTGGCCCCCCTGCTTACTACAGGCCTCACAACGGGAATCAATGGCACCAAGTGAACTTCCTTGCACCCTATGGAACCCAACCACGTCCTCGTTTTGGGACATTGGAACACAGAAGCTTCTCGGAGCTCATCACTGCGCTATCGGCCTCGCCAGGGTCGCTGGGGCCACCCGCGAAGCAGCGCCCGAAGGCCCGGCTCAGCGGGCCCGTGCCCGCAGGCCCCCGATCGCGAGCATCCCGACTCCGGAGGCGGAGGACGAGCTGCCGGCAGCTCAGCAGGCCTTCGCCTTGGTGCTGGAGTTCAGGGTCAACAAGCTCTAAAGCAATTGAGGTGTTTTGCGAGGTTTGGAGCTTTCGTCCTGGTTTCTGCGTCTCCGTGAAGCCTTAATCACTGAAGCCTGGGCACACTATAATCCTTGTTGGCAGAAGCTCACTGAGCGTCCTGCGATCGGTGGGAACTTCTTGCAAAAGGCCCTGGGCCCCGTGTTACACTGCTTCAGGTTGAAGACACGGGCTCAAACAGAAGACCGATTCTTCGGCCTGGAGTTCCTCCTCTGTGATACCGTTGCCTTGCACACATCGCTGCTCCAGGTAGCCGCAGCAGCCCCACACAGTACACTGCAAGGCGCCCATGCTCGGGTGCCAGCCTCGAAGGATGTCGACGATGCCGCAGAATGTCTCTGCAGACACTCTTTCCAGCTCCTCCCGAACCTGGCGAGCGGGACTGCTGCTTGAAAGCAGCTTATCTGTGTGTATACGGTAGTGGTAAAATCTTCGCGCCGGTGGAGTCTGTGCCTAAGCTCCCAAAGCCCATACTGGAATGCAAGCAGCCCGGCTTCGCTACTGCCTTCTAGTTTCTGTACCACCGTCGGGGGCCCTGAATCTGACTGTGTAGTTTTCTTTCTGTTAGCATTGTCACTGGTGACATGTCCCACTTTCTGCCTTCATCTAATCAGATCTGCAGTGGATGAATGCTTCTATCTCTTGTCTGCAGTCGCTCCCTGCGACCGGCCTCGGGTTGAGGGATTCCCGAATTACGTTGGGCAGCTCTTCCCTGCGCTTTCAAGCATGCTCTACGAACCCCTAGTGCAGCCGTTCACGAAGCCGCGTGGAAATCCACGCATCCCGGCCGTCATCTATCCTCAACCTGAGCCCTCTCAGCCCTCCGGAAAATGAAAACAGGACCGACGATTCCATCGAAGCTCAGAACAGGAACGGAAGCCCCAAAAGCACAAACAAAGAGTACCAGAACCCAAAGATAGGCCACGACCCGCGACAGCCCTAACCAAAGAATGAAATGAAAGCAGGACGGACCATCCCGGCCTCAGTCGCCATCCGAGCCCTGGCCTTCGGCCTGGCCGTCTTCGGGAAGCTAAGAAAAGGTGAAGAGGGCGGCAGGGTTGGCGTGGAGATTTAGAGGGCGGGTGGGGCAGCTCGGCGCCTGGACTCGTGGATGTGGACAAAGCTTTTCACGTGGATTCGGTTTGAGTTGCTGACTGCTTGAGCTGTAATCGCACCCGGATTCCCCGGGTCGAGCCTGGCCCTGGTAGATGAGCGAGACGGCGGACAAGCCTGTGAGCTTCCAGACCAGACCGTTCGCAGGAGCAGTTTGGTACTCTTGTCACGTCCTTGGGGCGTTGGTAATCGTCAAAGAGAACCCGGACCACCAACTACCAGAAAGCTTCGGAAAACTCGCAACCGAAAGAGGACCCCCACCTTCGGCTTGGCCCAGGCCCGGCAGTTACTCCGGCAGCTTTGGCCAAGGCCTGTGCACCGGCTTTGAGGAATCTTCAGCTTCAGAATGCGTTCAGGGTCCCAGTGCTTCGAAATCAGAGCTCACGGCTTTGGGGAGCAACTCTACAGATCATTGCGAGCGTGCCGGTTGCGAACTCGGCTGGCCTTGGCTCTCCTGCTTCGGAAGCCAGGGCCACGGAGACGCAGCTAAACAGCCCCGCCCCTGACGCTGTAAGCTATCATATGTGCTATGGCGTGACTTCATGTGGCTCTCACGGATGCTTCATCTGCCAGGATGGCTTCAGTTCAAACGGTTGCCGGCCACCAAGTATAGTGGATGGTGGCGAATGTCAGCTGCCATGCATGGGCGTCGGTGGTGGGGTACTGCGAGCCGAAACGGCCACCAGATCGCTCTTGGTTGCTTCCATGAGCCAAGATGTCGGAGTGCAGCAGTGAACAGAAGATCTCTGCACTGAAAAGGAGCCTCGGGAGAAGGGGCTCCACGCCCGCATGACCGAACACTGACACAAGGATGAATTTTTGAGGTAGCGCAAACAGGCCTCAGCCCCGCAGCAAACCAGAATCTCACAACCAGATGATGGCACTTTCCGTGTGTAATGGTCTGGGATTCTGATAGACAAGTTCTTGCAGTCTTGAAGCTCTCGGGCAAGGTTGTGGAGGCTTCGAGTCTCGAAGTCTCGGGATACGCTTGCTTAAGACGACTTCAGCGTTCTGCGCGGATCGGTTTCCGGGTTTGCTGAAACGTCTTGAACCGCATGAAACCAGGCAGGTCCATGGGCCAAGGTCCATGGCCCTTATCCACGAAGGCTCTAGACATGGGAACTAAACCCAGAAGCAAGTTCTTGGAGCCCGCCGCCCTGCTGCAACTTCGGATCCTGAGCGTGAACCGACAAGTCCTCAATGACAGACCCGAAGCTTGCCCCTCAAATTCTCGTAAGAAGATCCACAAGCCTCTTTGAAGCACGAGCCGTTGGCCCTCCATCGGCGCCCTGCAGCCTTCCTTGGAGCCCTCTTTTCCTCCCCCGCACGGTCTCATCGCAGCTGGTCGAAGCCGGTCCACGAAATTCTTGCTCGTATTCTTGCTCGCTGCGTGAGGGTTTATGGCGACGGCTCGAAATCCCGCGATGGGGATTGAAGTGGATTCGAAGGCTTTGAATTGCTGTGGATGCACAGATACACCTCCTCCCACAGTGCAACAGAGCTCCTCTTCAGCTTCAGATGCTGCACCGATTGCCTCAATCACGAATTCCTTGAATAACACTGTAAAGAGAGGAGCGGATCCCGCTCACTGCTATGCACACATAGCAAAACTGTTGTTGAAAGACATGGCCATCGCACCATCCCGGGACTGCGAAAACCGAGACGCCTCCAGGTCGGGCAGAGCAAGAAGCGCGGCTTGAGAAGGCTGCGGGAATTTGTGAAGGAGAAGACTGAAGAGTGAATGCTTGCCATCTCGACAGATTCCGTGCAAATCTTCTTCTAGCATTCTAGCTTTATGCCTGACATGACTTAGTGGACCGGGCAGCACTAAACCCAAACCTTGACCCCCACCTCAACCCATGGCAAGGACCTCGGCCACAGCAAGCCTGCAGCATCTTGATTTTTGTATTCGAGTCGTGCAATCGGTTCGCGATCTTCCGATAC